CGTGACGAACTGATGTCCGAGAATAAATCAGACCTACGTCAAAACATGGACACAGTCGCTCACTAGTATCGGGGTCCTCTGGCATATCCAGCGGGTGGGAGCTGACGCGAACGCTCTCGAGATTTAAGAATGAAACAATCTCTATGTGAGAGGTGAAGTTGCAGATCATGATTTCACTATGACCGTCGTCAATAACAAATCACCAAGGAACTACGTCTGGGTTCGCACAAATTTATTTCCATCCTAGGACTCACTAATCAGCATCAGGCATTCGCGCGCGCGCATCTCAACATCCAACGAACCTCACAAAGCCGTCCACGCCATACTTCTCACCCCATTTACACAGGTCCTTTATGCGCCGCTCTTCATTCCACACCCACTCGGGCTTCATTGCCGACCATGCCACGAGATCTTGGGTATCCATAGTGCCCTCAGGGATTTTTGCAGCGCTGCTTCCGTCAAAATAGAGCACTTTCATCGGCTGAGTGACTGTAAGGGTAAGGTGCCAGCACCCTGTTTCAACTGTCCCTCTGCAGAAAATTGTGGAGTGTTCTGGTTCCACAGCCACCCAGTCCAAGGCGGTCGGTAAATGGGGACCGGTGATAGCTCCGTGGTAGAGGAGAGTGCCCACGGGAACAGTCCCTGGGACTATCGTATGACCTGCAGGGCGCAAATGATGAGTCGCGACCATCTGGTTGGAGTTTTAAACATACCAATACGATGACGGGTATTTGCCCAGTTTTCAAGCAGGGAATTGGCCGTTCCGAACAAGAGCTGTCCTGTCGCGTTCACCGCAGGTCCTTCATCAAGGTCCCATTGTCCAAGATCATTTTCGGCCCCCGGGTAAAAGGATGCAGATGTATGATTCGACAGAGGTATCTGTGCAGTCAGAGTCCGTTCAAAGACAAGAAAAAGCCAGACGGCTGCAACTTTCCTTGTAAACAGCATGTCGACGAAGGGTCAAGGGCCGTTTCAAGGTTAGTTGATACTCAGTGAGTGCATCCATGAAGTTATGGTTTGATTTCCTTTTACGCAACTCTTTCCGCAGCTAGTCCTAATGGGCGAATTCGATAGCGGTTGAGATAGCAGTTTGCAATGTTCATTTTTCTATAATTCATGATTGTCTTCCAGCCATCAGATGATTGATAATAGGAATAATGATAGAAAATCGACGCAATATTGTTTCCTGAATTGTTGTGCACAGCGACGTGGGGTACTTAGTCTGCCGTTATGGTAGTCAGATGTAGCAGGAAGATAATTAAGCGTTGGTAAGCATCCGTAACGCGCGTAAGTTAAGCGTTCATTCCAGTCGTTTTGCAGGGTAGTTTTTCACGGAGCCTTATTGCAGATGCTAGTTGAAAAGAGCTAAAAACGCTCACAATACATTTTGCCGACTTCTGCCATTCTACCATTTGCCAAGAGGACTAACTGTTGTTACTGTAAGGCAGGGAATCCGATCATATACAGGCCCCACGTGGGCGCAGCGCGCTTAAATTCCAGTCCAATAATTTTGTACAAAAGACGTGTATATGTCAGCAGTAATGTGAATCATGTATCCTACAAACCATATGGCTCCCGCCGTCTGATGCACTTGGGCTGTGGTCTCTTCCATTCCCCTTTGTTTGGATCTGGCCATAATGAACCACTATCCCATTGGGCTTGAGGTGGTGCGCCGGGAGTCCGGACAAACCCAAACGGCCAAGTAGGCAAATAGCACATCTCCTATACCACGAGGTCAGTCGTTTCGCAAACAAGTAACTTGATTGTGTTACCTCGAAACCACAGGCCGGTCGGCACTTCACCCACACGCTCCAGTCCAACCAGGAGATTAAATGCGTCACATCCTCCTTCCATTCGCCCGTGAGAGTATGTATGCGATCAACTTCAGGGCGCTGTTCCGGAGGATAAAAGGCGTCGACTCCTAAATTCATTCCGGAAGCCCACATCTTCGTGACGACGCGACATATTTCATGCGTAGTGTCCCGCACCGCCTGCAGGAGTAAATGTTCGGAGGGCGTTAGTGTTGTTCCACGAGACGCTATGGAGGCCGTGTGCGATACAGCACATTCCCGAAAGACTGGCGCAGCCCACAAACTTGTCGCGTTGGCGGTGACAGAGGTATTGGGAGGTAGAGCTGCAAACACAGTGTAGGGTAAAAGCACGGTGCGCAGCTGTCTCTGAATTTGTTGTGCGTGGTCAAAGATCGACCCATCGTCCAACGTCAGGTTCAAAAGGTGCTGTATGAACTCCAGCCGGCTGGCATATCGATCGATCACCACACGCAAGACTGTTTTCCAGTCAATGCCGCTGGTGGTCGCTGGTGGTAGTGCCAGCGCTTGGGCTAGCCTGTCTTGGACACGTTCCATATCCTCCGATGATATTCCTGCCACTCGGTGATCCCACCGGTCCAAGCCTACACGGCGCGGCACTAAGGAGGGAACAAGAGCGGTGTCGTAAAAAGAGACGAGCCCAGAAAAATCAAGCATAATCCGGGTTTCTCCTGGGTAATTTTCGCGCCATGAAGCAGAATGCATTAATTCAAAAACGTGACGCGCTGATGTCCAAGAATAAGTCAGACCCACGTCAAAACATGAACAGTCGCTCACCAGTCACTGGCGGCGGGTCGGTGCTGGTCCCAGTGCGAATGCTCGCGAGATTTAAAAACGAGACGATCTCCATGTGAGAGGTGAAGTTGCAGATCATGATTTCACTATGACCGTCGTCAATAACAAATCACCAAGGAGCTATGTATGGATTCGCACAAATTCATTTCCATCCTATGACTCACAAATCAGCATCAGGCATTCACGCGCACGCGTCTCAACATCCAACGAACCTCACAAAGCCGTTCACACCATACTTCTCACCCCATTTACACAGATCCTTTATGCGCCGCTCTTCACTCCACACCCGCTCGGGCTTCATTTCCGACCATGCCACGAGATCTTGGGTATCCATAGTGCCCTCAGGGAGTTTCGCAGCGCTGTTTCCGTCAAAATAGAGCACTTTCATCGGCCGAGTAACTGTAAGGGTGAGGTGCCAGCACCCTGTTTCGATTGGCCCTTTGCAGAAAAATGTGGAGTGGTCTGGCTCTACAGCCACCCAATCCAGGGCGGTCGGTAAATGAGGACTGGTGAGAGCTCCATGGTAGAGGACAGTGCCCACGGGGACAGTCCCTGGGACTATCGTATGACCTGCAGGGCGCAAATGATGAGTCGCGACCCATCTGATCAAAGTTCAGTATTTTCAGACATACCAATACGATGACGGGTATTTGCCCAGTGTTGAAGCAGGGAACTGGCTGTTTCAAATACCAGATGACCTGTCGCGTTCACCGCAGGTCCTTCGTCAAGGACCCATTGTCCAAGATCATTTTCGACCCACGGGTAAAAGGATGAAGGCGTATGACTCGACAGAGGTATCTGTGCAGTCAGAACCCGTTCAAAAGTAAGAAAAAGCCAGACAGCTGCCGCTTTCCTTGTAAACAGCATTTCGACGAAGGGTCAAGGGCCGTTGTAAGCTTAGTTATATCATTGAGTGCATCCATGAAGTTATGGTTTGATTGCCTTTACGCAACCCTTTCCGCGGCTAGTCCTAATGAGCGAATTCGATAGCGGTTGAGATAGCAGTTTTCCATGTTCATTTTTCTATAGTTCATGATTGTCTTCCAGCCATCAGATGATCAATGATAGTGATAATATTTGATAGAAAATTGACGCAATATTTTTTCCTGAATTGTTGTGCACAGCGAGGTGGGGTACTTACTAAGAGCCTGTTCAGCAACCGTTGTTTGAACAAAATTTATGTTTATGTACGGATTGCGTTGGAACGGCGCGGAAGCCGTTTGTGACGGAGTTTCAATGAACTCTACTCTAATCATGCCAGCACAAGCCAACGACGAATCAGTTCTTATCAGCGAAGGCAGACATCTGCAAACTAGAAATTTCTTCACAGATATGGTAATTTTCGACAGTTTCCCACAGCCACCCAAAGTGGCGACAGAGCTCACAGAACGTACAGCCCCAGACGCCAAAGTGGTCACAGAGCTCACAACCGGGTCAGACTGTTCAAAATAAATTCAATGGTTTCCAGCTCAACGGCCTCAATCTTTTTAAAGTGTTGAAGTCTACTAGTAGTACTAGTACTTAGTACTTAGTACTTAGTAGTAGCAGGCTCGGAACTTCCTTTTAATTGCTAGCTTGAATTTGCACATTGTCCCCAATTACGATACAAACATTATATTCAACGAAATACCAATATATAGTAGTAGTACTGTACATACTAGTACTACTAATGCGCGCGCCGAACTTGAACACAAAAGAATAAGAATAGCTCGAGTCATCAGTCTAAAATTACTGATACACGACGGTTGGATTGTTCTGTGATAAGACATGAAGTTTGCAGTGGCGAATGTGAACAGATATGACTTACCTTGCAAACTGCATGGCGCAAGTGAACGGTGAGAAAGACCGTATTTTTGAAAAGTAATTCGCATATACCCTAATCCTATATCTGCTTTGTCGAGCTTTTTCTTCGAAACGTCGGACTGGTGCTTAGAAAGATTCGCCATGATTTCGCGTTCTCGCACTACACAATCCGCTAGCACCTTCTCCGCCCTAAATACATCCCGCCTCGCCCTCGCTAGGTCCATGACGAGGTTGGCTTCAAGTTCATCGGTGTCGTTGATTGACTGTAAGTACCATGTTACTTAGAGCGAATGCGATACAATATGATTGACTTACCATTGACCTGATACCATCGGCTATATCGTACAGGTCAGAAATACCGCTGGAATCGTGACGACACGAGTGACAACTTGGACATTGCTGAACAGAGTGTGTGCGCGTACAAGGCATCAGGCGCGAAGATGATGATGGGATATCATTGCTGAGATTAAGACTGATTGGTGGGGCTGACATTTCAGAGAAACAAAGAGTAAGTTGTTGATTATGAATTGGGCTTCTCACGACTCACGAGTGTCGGACTTTGCGAGGACCATCATGTCCAATTTCCAGTGTCCTTCATGCGGTAAAGCCAGTTTCAGAGATCAGGTTGCTGTTGCTCGTCACATGAGCCAGCCTCGCTCAGGATGTAGCACCTGGCTACAGGATTTAATACGTCTGCGGGACCTATCTGACGATTCTATGAATACAGATGACTTGGACGGACCGAATATTCCCGGTGGTGGGCCTCAGGCTGAGGTTGAGTTCACATTCGGAGATAGAGACGAGTCATTTGAAGGTAGCGGTGAGAGTGGTGGCCAGGCCTCTGAGGAGGGATTACTTCCGAATGGTGCCTCAGATTTCGTCGACCAATATCCCGAATCTTCTCGGACGTATGGCATGGGGTACACCTTCCTCGACTTATTCAATTCTGATGAGAATAGTGTGTACCGTGCCAAGAATCCCTATTACCCATTCAGTGGCCGGAAGGATTGGGAGATTGCATCGTGGTTACTGCGCTCAGGATTGAGCATGGGGAAGATAGACAGTTTTTTATCACTCGACATAGTAAGCAAATTGTTTCATTTTCATTACAATTCCGATGATAAGTCTTTTGTCAAGATTAAGGGTCTTCCAATATCTTTTTCCTCGGCCAAGGAACTGCGAGGCAGAGCAGAAATGTTGCCCAGTGGTCCACGCTGGATGTCCCAAGTGCTCTCTACGAGTCATCCCACCAAATCACCCGTCATTTTGTACTGGCGTGATCCCTTGGACTGTATTTCAGCCATTCTGAATCATCCCTTTTTTCACGATCGGTTAGACTTCATGCCTCGCAGGGTCTATACTACTGCACAACGCTTGTGTCGTGTATATTCAGAATGGATGACAGGCGATGACGCATGGAATATGCAGGTATATATTCATGTTTTGCACCAGTCGCTGAACTTAATGGTTTCTCAACAGTCTGCCCTACCCAAAGGCGCAACACTCCTTGGAACCATTCTATCATCCGACAAAACGAATATATCCACGATGACGGGTGACAGAGTTGCACACCCGCTTCTCGTCAGCCTTGCGAATATCAACATGTCCACATGACTCAAGACATCGTCCAACTCCTTTGTACTCACCGCCTTGCTCCCCATACCTAAATTTATACATAAGAATAAACGCATGCGAGGTGTACTCGAGGATCGCTTAATTCATGAATGTTTAGATATCGTCCTGCGTCCACTCAAGCAGGCTGCACGTGAAGGAGTCATGTTATCAGACCCTGTTGGACATAGCCGCTATTGTTTTACCCCCCTGGCAAGCTATATTGTCGACACTCCAGAGGCTATGATGCTAGCTACTGTCGGTGGGAAAACATCTCCGGTCACCATGGCCATGTTCAAGCAGTTCGGAGACCCTTTCCGTCACGAACCTCGCACGAAATCAACCACACTTGCACAGCTGGCTGTCGTTCAAACAAGGGCAGATCCCAACGATATTGAAGCCTTCTTTCGCGAAGCGCAGAAATTTCACCTGAACGGTGTCTCTAAACCTTTCTGGCAGGACTGGACCCTTGGTGAACCGTCTCATTTCCTCACTCCAGAATTTCTGCATCTCATTCACCGAGAATTCTACGATCACGACGTCAAGTGGATGATTTGTGCGGTCGGGGATATGGAAATTGATTTCCGGTTTTCTGTGTTGCAGCCCGTCACTGGCTTTCGTCATTTTTACGGTGGTATCTCCAAGCTAAAACAGGTTACAGGTTGAACTCAACGTGACATTCAGCGTTCGATCGTTGCAGTCAGTGCGGACGCAGCACCTAGTGCTGTGATCACTGCTGTCCGAGCATTGATGGAATTTCGGTATCTCATCCAGTCACCACGTATTGATGAAGACGACATCAAGCGCATTTCTGGAGCCCTCGATGAATTTCACGCCAATAAACACGCTATCACAGCTGGAGGATTTCGTCGAGGCAACAAGAACAAAGTTATCGATAACTGGTACATTCCAAAATTGGAGCTCATGCAGAGTATAGTTCCCAGCATCCGCAACACTGGTGTCGCCATGCAATGGACTGCAGACACAACAGAGCATGCACACATTACAGAGATTAAAGACCCCGCGCAATCAAGCAACAACAACAACTATGATCCTCAAATTTGTCGACATCTCGACCGGGTTGATAAGTGCCGTCGCTTTGACCTTGCAATGAGTCTCGTGGATGGTATGGCAAGCTCGAGGCTACAGGATGACAATATTGGTGATGATGTTGACTTTGATGCGGATGATGATGATGACCTCCCCACGGAATTTACGGCCACTATAAAATGTCCTGGACATTCGCGCCCAATCAATCACCAATTACTTTGCGATTGCGAAGATCCTCCAGCATAAGGAGGTTGGGACTGTCCCTCTGCCATTGCGCACATTCGTCATCGGACGCACGGCCTATCATCTCACATATTCCCCATCCATCAGATCCATCTCCATCAACGATGCTGCTATCAAATTCGGCCTTCCTGACTTACGGCTGGCCATTGCTGATTTTCTTCGTCGCGAAGCTACCCACGGACAGAATTATGTCCACACAATTGGGGGAGCCAGGAGGGCTGGACCTACTGCTTCCCTGCCATTTGATAAAATTCAAATCTGGTTCAAACTTCGCCTACAGGACACAGAGTTTCACGACAGTAGCATCATACGGCCCGCGCAGACCCTGAATTGTGTGCCGCCTTCTGATGTCTGGAACTCTGGTAGGTACGACTCAGCTATTGTGAACAACGAGTCAGGGTGCCTTTGGCCTGCTCATGGTCTTCGTGGTATGTTACAACCTTCTATCATGCTGAATACATTCTCACTGTTATCTTTCAGGTCACACAATTGGTCAAATTAGACTTATCATGCGTCCAGTTGGAAGAATCAACACGGATTGGTCATGGGAGGACTGTTTCCTTGTCTATATGTACCGGTTTGATGGTACAACAAGCGCTCGTGATCCTGCCACACAGTTGCACTCGATCAGAAGGGCGAAACGTTCTAACGGTACATTAGTGGGCGATATTATACCACTGACGCAGATCAAGGCTCCTGTTAATCTCATTCCTCGCTTTGGAGCCAGTGCAGACAGCCGTTTTACCTCACAGAACAGCATGGAGCACGCGTCAGAGTTTTGGGTAAATAAATTTTGGGACAAGAACACATTCTTTCCGCTCTCTATGTAGCTTCCTGCCTGTATTTTTAACTTTTGTGCTATTGGTTGTCAACGAGCTTCTTTCTGATATATTCTTAGTTCAACGAGCATTGATGGATGTAGTGACGCCGTGCGATAAGGGCATCTTGTTGCTCCCACCGTTGTCATATTATAGCTTAGAGTATACCGAACAAATGCCACCTCAGTTCTTTTTCAGGACGGGCGGCTACGGAATAAAGTTGTCGTCATTGGTCTCGCTCCCTGCCGCTGTTTCAGGCGATGCCCTTACAATGAACAAGTACACAGCCGAGGAACTAAATCGTCTAGTTACGCAGGAAGATGAACCCTCTAATTCGCAATCGCTAGGACACATGCTCTCTCATATCTTTCAGCCTTTCAGCATACCTCTACCGGATCTATCTACGCTCCAGATCCCACTCAAAAACATCCTTTATCACAACGAACGTACCAAAGCAAAATTCAGCAAAAATTCACCAGATGACCTGGTGCCATTGTACGATACTGATGCGCAGCTATGGAACTGGGACCTTCCAACTCTTGCTCCCACAAACGAATCTGAATCAACAACTCACTCTCAACCACCTGAAAGCTTAGATTCGGAGGGCAATGCAGGGACCGGCGAAACCGCAAAAGCAACTCACGAAGAAATTTTCTCATCATTCTTCAACGCTTTGGCTATCTGCTTAGCGAAGGCAGAGCCCAAACTACTAGCCAACCCCACTGCGATGCGCACGTGGACTGCGGCCCACGCACATAAAGCATTACCTGGTAGTGAGGTGAAGCGGAAACCCGATCTCCTCTTGTCAGACGAGATCACAGCAAATTGGGGGAATATCAGGGTATCGGCTGAGCTGACGCACAGTTCATATCAACCTGCGTTGCGACTCGTGAAAGCTGCTGATAGTCATGCATATCTCATGCTGAGCGAGCAGCCTTGGAGGCGCTTTGCGCTTGTACTATCACTCACCAACGAGTACCGGGAGCTCAGAGTCCTTTTCTACGATCATGCCGGTGGTGTTGTGTCCCCTGCCTTCAATATCTACCGAAAACCAAGCATTGTTGCTCACATTATTGCTGCCCTTCGTTTCGGCAGCCTCGAGTGCATAGGCTATGACTTGACAGTCTCCTTCACAAGACACATTTCTCCTCCCCAACGCCATGCCAATAACTATCGTCCGATCAAGAACCTCCCTGCCAAACGGCAACCTGCAGATCACGTCATGGCTGCAGCCACGTCTGAGCTCCCTTATCCACCACCCGGTGATGTTGAGGGTGCACCAAGCGCTGTCATCGAGACGATATATCCCGACTCAGAGCCCGAGTCCGAGCCAGAGCCAGAGCCAGAGCTAGAGCCAGAGCCAGAGCCAGAGTCCGAGTCCGAGTCCGAGTCAGAGCCGCATGCTGACGATGGTATGCACGTTTCTATGAAGAATCTGGAGGATCCCCACCTGGTACAAGCCACTGCCATCTCCAGCGCCCCCCTTCTCAACCTCGCATCCCAAGCGCCTGAGGAGCCTGACAGTATCTATTCTGCTACACCCCATCCTTCACAATTCCCGTATTCAGCTCAGTCACCTGAACCGTGTGGCAAAATTCGTGTCAGGGACACGATCTACACAATCACAAGGATCCTGTTTGCGAGTCGCGGCCTTGTTAGTCGCGGAACTGTCTGCTACTTGGTCTCTTTGGATGATAAGGAATTCATCATCAAAGACCATTGGGTTCAGGGTAAGGAGGATCAGGTGATCTTGAATGAGATCGAAATGTTGAAGCGCATGTCTGGCGTCCCTGGCGTTCCCGAGTTGGTGGATTGGTGGGTGGTTGAAAGGTCGAATGGAGAACCCAATGTGACCAGCAAATATCGAAAACAACCGCAGCGCCTAAGTATTGCAGGGACCAGTCGCTCACACGTTCGACTTGTCTTGACGCCCTGCGCTCGCCCCCTGCATATGTTCCGAACTCTTAAAGAGTTTGTGAAAGCGCTGAGGGACATTGTCATCAGTAAAGTGTTTTTTTTGATTGGCAATCTTTGAACTGACATATCTAATTTCAGTTCAACGCACGGCGGTGGAGGAACGCAAGGTTCTACACCGCGACTGCAGCTTAAATAACGCAATGATTGTAGATCTGTTAGGAGGTGGTAGTAAAGGGTTTCTAATCGACTGGGAGTTCGCAGTGCGCATCAACCCAGATCTGAAGTATGCCATCGGTGGTACGGTAAGTGCGTTCAGTTAATTACAGTACGTCTAGTACTGATCTGTTCGTCCAATCTACAGGGAACAATCCCGTTCATGTCTCGCGGGCTTCTTGCCCAACTCTCAGATGCACAACAGGCAGCGCTGGGCGGAAAGAAACCGAAATATATCCCGAAAACGTCTTCAAACGCTTTGGCGTTGCCTGTATCGCATGTCATTCAATGCTTTTCAGACGACCTCGAATCACTTTTCTTCGTCTTCATCTGGATTTGCATCAAATTCTGTGGCCCCCATGGCCAGGTACGCCAGGATATGATAGGAAACTCAATACCTGATCGCTGGAACAACATGGACCTCGAATCCTGCGCGGCCTTCAAGGGCAATTTTTTCGCAACTAAGAAGGAGGAACACCGTCTTGTAGACGAGATCCATCCTTACTTCAAAGACTTAATCCCTCTCGCCAAGGAGTGGCGTACGGCTTTGAAGGACAACATGGAGAACCCTGTTTCCTTCAACACCATCCTTACATTATTGAACACTCATCTTGACCGCCTTCCGGATGACGAGGAGCTCATTTCCACTGTCGAGACGCTCAGAAAATCTGCTGCTATTCTCGCAGACCGTGTCGAGAAGCGTGCCGCTTCGCAATCGTTCCCCATGGAATTACCCAAGCGTCAGAAGGCTGATGGTATTTCGGAGACTGACAACGAGTCAGACGGTTAGCATACATACAGGCTGATTATTCAACGTAAACATCGTTTTTCATTACTACTTTGTTGTACTCTCATTCTCACGTTGACCCGATGTACTGCGTTTTTGGTTGTTGTGACTTGTATGACTTATAAATTATGTTTCTTGGCAACTTGACTTCACACATTTATTCTCATCAAGATGAGTCACTCAAAACATGCAGCATTGATTATTACATGGTACGCGCTTCAGTGTGATGTTGCACGCATTTTTGAAATGTAATACTGTCCATTACTCGCATCAAGGCCGTTCTGTTGGTCCACCCGGCGCCGAGACATGATATTATTATATAAAAGACTGGTGAGTTTGCGACTTGATGAATCGCTAGACTCAGGCTTCACCTCTTTCTCTATCCTCTGTGTAGTTGCAATCATGCCTCCTCGTGCTATTAACAGCCCCAAGAAGAAGAGGTCGAAGCGCAAAGGCTCAGATGCTTCAACTGGCAGGGCAGGTGTACCCAAAAAATCTCGTCAGGCTACGGACCTCACCGAAACACTCAGCGTACCACTTGTTTCCCTTGGCCTTGCTGAAGTTGAAGATGGTGCTCCACGACGTTCTGGCCGCCCCAATGCAGGGACCGGAGGTAGGAACAGCCAGCTAGAAAAGATTGGTGCAGTCCTTGAGTCTCAGTCTCGAAGTCGTCCTCCCAAGGGCTCCACGTCCCTCAGTCCTAATATCCCAGTGAACCCTCAGGCTCCGGAACCAGCTCGTAAAGGACGGAAGGGTTGTTCAAAGGTCAGGCATGTAAGTATTCATTTTTACTAATGCTGATGTTTGCATTCAGGCGGTTCCTCCGCCTTATAGTTCACTCACGGTTACCAATGGTCCTGCGAGCATTGATAACACAGGTCCTGGTCTTTCAATGCACCAACCTGGCGGAAGGTTTGGTTTCGTTGCTCCTCCTAGTGCTGGCCGTAGTCTTCACGAGGCTAACAATCCACATGTCGCTGTTGGCTCGAAGGCTGTCAAGAAGCGTGCTACGAAAGTAGCTCGTGATCCAAACCCACGCAATATCATACCGCCACTCACCACCTTCGTGGAACAAAACTTGGATCCGGCCCTTTTCGAGGAGGACAACAATGTCAGGCGTCAACCTATACTGCGAGAATCCCAGCTATTGAACAGTGGACCCAAAGTCAGCAGCACCAACGACAGCGATGACGAAGACGAGGACGAGGACGAGGACGAGGACGAGGATGGAGACGAGGATGAGGACGAGGATGGGGATGAGGACGAGGATGGGGAGAGGGAAGAGGACGAGGATGAGTCAGACGAGGATGAGCACACCAATGAGAATGGGTACCAACGTCACAATGGCCATCCAGGTAATTTCCTTTATCGTACTGAGATCCACCTGATGTTGTTCCCTCTTTCAATCTTACAGGCTTCTCAAACGAATCGCTACTTTCGCAGCCTCGAGTCATTCGTCATCTCTCACCTGAATTCGATTTTCAGTACTCCCGCGATGAGGATGATGCGGCTGCTCAGACGAGCCTCAATAAAAACACTGTAGCAAACTCTCAATCCTCGACCGTCCACCAGAACAGTGACTCCCAGGTATGCTGACATGGATTTACTGGCATTGCACTTATTCTTTTTGCTCTTAAGGGCTCTCTGGATCCTTTGGTAGGAGTGCAACGGCAACAACAGACACAATGTTCTGAGGTGAGCAAATGGTTTTTATTCTGAACGAGGCTCACAGTGATCGTTTGCATACCTCGAAGCCTAGCGACGTATTGGAGTCCCACCACAAGAAAAATGGCCAGCCCCGCCTTCCCGACCCTGAAACTCTTGAGCTGCTTCATCAAGTAGCCGAGCACGCTGATGACCAACAGGCTCCCCGGAGAAACAGAAAGATGAAACGGTCAGAAGACGGGCCCAAACCTACTCTATTAGCTTGGTATGGGCCGCGCTGGAAAAGCTTCCTTGAGCACACCAAGGGAGAATGTCGTGTGGAACACGCACTTGACGATCCGTTCCCGAGTTTTGTTGGTGATCTTCCAGGGTCAGTAACTGAAGTTCTCATCGCAACTTTAGTCATTTGGGACAAGGAAGGAAAACAATTCGAAGCTGGTGCGTGTTTGCTTCTTCTTGCGCTAATTTGTTTCATGTTGCAATCCAGGGGTTTGGCCGGAGCAAAAGTGTAACATGGCTCGATTGGTACGTGTTTCGCTCTCTTAATTTACAGTCTCACTGATACAATAGGTCTTTATTGAAGTTATATGACGATCTTTCGACCTGGCGATCAGAACTCAAGAAAACTGCCATAGGCTTAGCACCTCTTGCATACTCACTTGTTCCCCCCGCATCAGTCCCCGCTCAAGAACGTGCAACGTGGGTCCAGAATGCTGCTTCGCAATTACTTTCGGAATCCGAGTTTTTACGGTTTGGATTGGATGCATTGGTGAGTGATTGTGCACTGACTCCGACGACATACATTAAAATCACTAGGGCAAAACAAGGAATTTCGCTCATCCTGGCCTTCGTGACGCAGTTATTGGATTCTTTTACACAGGGCCGTATCGAATTGCCCGGAAGAGGCCAGATATCTTTCGCAAGCAATTGCCCATCTCATGTTTGGCTTTGGTTTCCGCTGCGGTACTTTCTTACTTTCTGCCTTGACATCATGTATTGACATTTTTATAGTACAATTGTGTCCTCGACGGTCTCGTCAAAAACGGTCACGGCAAATCTTATCCCAAGTTCTCCGCCAAGGAATACGGCCCGATATACCGCCAGATGGTCAGAATGATCGATCAAATTCTTCAACATCCATATCACGGTCCCAGGTTAGTATCACAACTTCAGGAATGGGCTGAAACAGGATGGCAAGAACAACCTTTTTTTATTGAAATTTCGGATGCTGATTATTTTCACCCAGGGCCGCATGTCTAAAACTTGATGGCACTGAGGAGACCAAACACACCCATCTACAAATCGTCCTCGACTAAGTCTTCGCATTCCTGTGTCCGAGTTACAGTACTACCATAGTTTGGGAGCCGTTTTTTGTTTCGTATTTTGCTACTACTAGTATACTGATGTTTCCGTACCACGTGATTGAATATATTGCCATCGTTCCTAAACACCTTGGGTGAACTGTACATAAATGAATGTGTGCACAATGATTGCTCTCTGAGTGCTCTGTGAGTGTCTGTACATACATAGACAGTGAAAAAATGTGCAATTTCACAGGTAGTTGTTATTTACTGGGTGGTCTGTGAGTATCTGTACAGAGATCCACAAAGTAAGGAGCTACTGTGACAAACTGGCTAGTAGGGACCAAGCTGTAGAGCTTGTGCGCTGTACAGCTCTGTACAGCTCTGTACAGATCATTCTGGTTTGCAGATGGATCGTCTCAACTGTAGCTGCCATCATCCTCTGCACTCAGTTCCAACTCTACATGATGACTCAGAAGGGTGAAAGTAAACCTAAAGCTCAGTGGTGTGAGGAGGAGGTCGATGCATTCCTGGTCTATATGTGCGAATGTCTTTCGTGATCGCATGGCCACAGAGATGTGGGAGGACTACCAGAATATCTTACATGAGCGCAATTTAGTAGACATCGCTCACTCATTAGACATTGACGAGGATCCAGAGGACATTGAGGACATCGACCAATATTATGGGAGCGAGGATGACAATGAAAGTGATGCTTAGAAATATGTTACATTGTAGTGTACATAGAGCTACAAATGATAATGTGCGGTTCATCTAATGTGGTGCAAACAAATGAAAGGATACAGCAATGCATACGGCAATGAGTGAGACAAAAAATAAAACATGACGACGATGACAATGTTTAAAACACACCAAATTCCCCCCTGGCAGCCTGGTCAAGAACAGATCGCAAGTAGGGGACCCGTCTTTCAGGCTTGGCAGCCAAGTAGATGGCGCATACTGCTGGGCTCCTTGCGAACACGTTCATGAGCGTGACGGACTCATCTTCTGTAATCAGCTCCTCCTCCTGCATGGCGAGCACAGCCTGTAGCCTTTCATCCAACACCCGAGTTTCATTTTGGTCGGTGTTGGATGCCGATGTGCGAAGGCTGTCCGTCAGGCTGTTGATGGAACCTTGCAGGTTCATGAAGACGGCAGTGCTGGCAGCGTCTTTGGCAGCCTTAGAGCCTTTGTGACTGCGGCCGGCTTGACTTTTACCTTGTGTCGACAACTTTGGCTTTTTGTCGACATTGGAGGCGTGGGATGAATCTACCAGTGACGTAGTTTGGGTGGTGCTGGGGGACAAAATCATGTCGGAATGTGAGCGTTTGCCCGTACTGGAGGGCGCAATAGAAGAGGGGGGAGGGGGAATGTTCATGGAACTTCCAGCGACTCCAGGAGTGATGGATGGGAGGGCTGACTTGATCTGGTCCCATCCAGCTTGTGGCGCAGTAGTGAGTCTAGATCCGCTGGCCTCAGCATTGGGAGCCTCCGGTGCTTGCATGGATAAGGAGGATCCACCGGCTTCAGCATTGATAGGAAGAGCCACTGATGCTTCCGCAGCCAAGGAAGCTGGATTGTAGGCAGATGCCCCCTGAGCGCCACTCCCATTTGGGAGAATCTCCGACATCTTTTGCCAGTGTCTCCATCCGTTGTTTTTGAAAGGTTTCATCACCTGTGAATAGGGAGTGAGTAGTAGACAAGTAATAAATACAAACATACCTTGTTGGAATTATTAGCGGTAATAAATTGGTTCCACTGGAGTTCCGCTGCTTCCCCCTGAATATTGGCGCCGTTAACATTGTCCCAATGACATCCGGATCGGTTGTTGCGATATCTCTCGATGGCATTGTAGATTTGTTTCAACTGTAAGGGTTATTAATGATAAGTTAGTGATGCGGCTAGGGAGTAGGATACAAAGACATACTGCTTGCCATTTCCTCTTACACTGTACCATGTCCTTGTCTGGGCCTTGCTTCTGAAGTCCCACAAGTTTCTTTGCTGCCTCATGGAAGGTCTCATCTTTGAAAGTCGTCCCACAACATCATCCTCAACCATTGGATCAGTAACATCAGGACCACCTTGAGCAGGTTGGCCCTGATGGGTAGGGTTGTCGTTAAATACAGCCCTGTGAGGGAGCGGCTCTTCGTCTGGGTTGTGAATACGTATATAATTGTGCAGAGCGCACAGTGCCGCGGGAATGCGAGCCTGGATGGCTATCTTGTACTCTGGCGATACTAACAGAATGCGAAAGCGCCGCTTCATGATGCCGAAAATACGTTCAATAATGTTGCGAGCAGACATGTGACAAAGGTTGAACAGTTCTTCCTTGTTAACCGGTCTAAAATGAGTATTGTTAGTTGAGATACACTGCAGAGAAAAGTACTTACCTGACGCTAGCACGACCCCACTCTGCTAGATGGTACCATACACCACGGTACGGAACTAAAAGTTGTCGGGACGAGGGGAAACCAAGGTCTGCAAGAAGGTACTTTCCAGGCAGAACGTCCAAGCCATCATGGCGCGCTACATCCCAAAGCCGAGCATCTGTTGCTGACCCCTCCCATCCGGTTAGCGCAAAGGTGAACTGAAGATCGAAGTTGCAAGCTGAAGAGGCAGTTCTGCGATATGAAACCTTTGCGGTTGTAGTATAGGTGGCGACTGGCTGAGGGAGGAAACACGTGAATATGACTCCCGTCGATTGCGCCGATAGCATCGCGAAAGTACGGCCAACTGTTTTGGGTTGTCACGAATGGCACTCGAGACTGGTGCATCAGGAGCGGGGAGGTGGACATATTCGGTGTAGAAAGGGTGGGATGCAAAGATGTCTAGCATCTTGCGAAAATGCCTATGAGAGTGTCAGTACCAGCGTGAGTGTGAGATCTAGATCAAAGTACGAACTTAGAGATGGTAGCGTTTGAACGCTGGAATCGTTCTGCGACATGTCTGACAGTTAATTCCTGTCACACACGTATAGAGAAATATTGATAGCTGTTCTTCAAGTGAGACAGTAATGTGAATCACGGTGACCAAGGGCGTGAAGGTCCTCTATCAATTTCTCGAAGACCTCAACATTGACCCCGAGCTCACAACGAATGCGATCGGGATGGCCAAGGATGAGTTCTATCACCCACTCTTGCCCTGTGAGGGCTGAGGTGTGATAGGGCTCAGGTTCATCAGTGTCCTGCATGAAGACATGCACTGCGGCCAGCAGGAGACTGAGGATGAGCGCGACATAGCGAATGATACGATGCCGAAGCACAGCACGGTGAGGCCAGGGGGGATGATTTTGTTGCACTATTGGTTGAACGAGTGGGACTGTGAGTGGTCGTATGTTAAAGCGGTTATGAGCAGGCTCATCTACATCCATAGCTATTCAGATTATTGTCGTAAATGTTATCAACATTATCAACATGATCGGCCACTCACTCACTATTCAGACTGAGCTTGAATTTCGGTAGTGTGTGCTGACTGGTAACATTTGATTTCCCAAATTTTTCAGTTCAAACATCGGTTGCTGAATGGGCTCTTAGTCTGCCGTCACGGTAGTCAGATGTAGAAGGATGATAATTGATGTCAATGATAAGGCAGAGGCTGAACACTCCGATCAACTGCACAGCGTCACACTCTGTCACCTCACGTGAGGTCTTCTACGTAATCAATGGAACTCGGAATAGCGACTGGCTTAGCGAAGTCCAAGCCAGACGCAGACCACGTTCTTAGCACCTGCTGTAGTCACCCATCTCCTAGGATAAGAGTCTGTCAGGTAGGGCAAGAGGAATGCTAGAATGTTGGCGCGCAAGGCACGCACGTGACAACGCGACACGGATCAGCGGGGTATTGGTTAGGAATTCAAACCACTATATAGTTTTATTTCATTCGTTCCTCTTCCCTCAGTCCATTATCCACGACTGAGGGTATGTCTCTTATTCCTTCGCATACTACCTAGACACTAACTCGATTACTATAGCCTAATGTTTGTCTAGGTATATAGTAATCCAGTCTGTTATCCACGACTGAGGCCTAACATTTGTCTAGCCCTTATAGGTTATGAGCCCTGTTCACTCGTAAAAACGAGCGAGCGGAGACCCCTTAGACATCGTCGCCCCAAAAGGAGACTTATTGTGACATTCACGCCACCAGCGTGCAGCACTACGAATTGACGTCATCAAACGATTGTCCATCAGTTGATGTCACTAGAACATTGTTATATTCCCTTTTCAAGCGAGAAGTACCTCGCTGATAGACGTGCATCTTAAATAGCGAGGACCATTCAAGTTTCCTCCTTCACCCCTTTTCCTCTTACCATCATCAAGCATGGTAAAACAACATCTGCGTTTGCACAGTACCAACACCCCTAGTACCAATACCCCTACTGCCCATACCAGTAATCCCAAACCGGCTGTGTCCACCCCTCTATCCACGACTGAGGCCTCTAAGATAACGGCCATTACATTGAGCCACATGGATCTCGAGAAAATCAAGCTCCTCGACCGAGGTCAGAACAATTGGGGGACTTGGTCCTGCCAAAATACGCAACTACCTGCTCCTCAAACATGGGGGAGGTTACCTCCTTGGTGTCGTGATGCGCCCAGATGAGATTGTGGACCCTGTCGGCGCTAGCACCTGGGACCTCAACAACCTCTGTATTGTTGCAGCATTGAGCACCCGCTCCTCCACGGAGGACCAAGACTTCTTACTCCCTTTCACCAAGGCGCACACCGCGTGGGAGGCTCTCAAATCCCGTCACGAACAAGTGGGGCCTATCGCGCAAATACTGCTCATCCAGTGTCACAACTCAATAACGAATTAACGCTGGGCAGAGACTAGGACTCAAACAAAGAATAATCATGCAGAGGAAGTAGGCAGCAGGTACGTCTTGGTATTGCTCACTTGGAGATACAAGAGGTTTGAACTAAAGAACTACTGACTACGACGAGCTACCTATATACACATATTGAAACTGAGATTCAAAACTGAGTATGAACTAACTAACCAATCAGAATAATTAAAGG